CGCCTCTTTATGTGGAGGAGCAGCGGTTCTACTCTGAGCTCCTCCTAGGAGGAGCTCTTCAAAAACTAGTGTAAAACAAAACATTTGGATTCCATTCTTGAATATGAACTAAGTAACTTTAAGACTAGAATATATATAGGGAATAATATCCTTGGAGCTCATTATAACTTGCACTATATTTTTATGAACTATAGCTTTTTTTCAATTTTGTTTTGAAATACTTGTGGCAATAAAGCATATAACATTCAATGAAACAAACAATTTTCAGATGGATTTTCAGTATGTGGATAGAAAAGATCAATGTCATTATCAATACACAGAAATGTTTGATTTTATTATTTGGCCTTTGGGGCTTTTGACTGTGTCCCTATGGCAATTCCTTGAGTGATTTAGAAGAGCAGAACTCTCAAGGCACAACAAGACTTGTGTTAACACACCCCTGGCAGCCATGCAGACATCCTTTATGGGACTCAAGGAATAAATGGTCTTAAAGATAACAAGATTTCAAGAGGCTGTATTCAAATAAAGTCAAATCTGACTTCAGTTTTATCCATTAGTGTTTGACTTCAAATGTTGCCTCAGAAAAAAAAACAACTTTTAAATAAAAAATGTGATCCAAAAATCAGTTTGCAGTAATTCAAGTACAAGTTATGAATGTACAAAACACCATCCATCAGTTAACCTGTGAGTAAGAATTCATCATTGCATGTTTGCAGAATGACACAGTAATAGAGGAAGTACAATTATATTAACTACTGCTCCACTTGATGCACATCATATAACTACAGCTATTAGATCAAATCTGTGATCTGTTGCCTGCTTGCCAAGTATAGACTATGAAGTATATTTGTTTTTGCCAGTGGCAAGAATATGTTTTGTTTAAATCTGCCACTCAAACTTACAACCAAACAATGTTGAAGTTGTAACTGTCTGTAGGCTACACATGTTTAATTATCACTAGACTCTATTGCTGATGTTTTAAGCACGAATGATGTGCTCCCAGCTGTCTGGCAATGGCGGTGGAAAGGGCGTTGTGACTTTTAAACCCATTACTGCTCTTAGGTTACATAAATGTTTTGTCCTCAAAATCAAAGTTTTGCACAAACAAGCAAAACTGGTGAACACCACCAACAACTGTTGAACAGTTTACAAAGAGCATGCACCAAAAACTATCACTAATATTGTTTGGTTCACTGTCAATAATCCACAAAATTAATACATCTTATAATTCATGAGTTTCATCAACAGGGACACAGGTTTCATAATATTTGGCTATACATTGAAGAACACGCTATCTGATTCTGTATGTCTTAGGGGAACTCATTGTGCTTTGATTAGAACACATGGATCCCATAAGGTTTCTATTTGTTGCATCACACCACCTCATTGCTGTTTTCATCAAACAAGGTATCTGGGATTTTACTGGTGCTGTAGGCATAAGTGTCCCATAAGTATGTGTAGATTCTCAGTCATCCAGGTCATAGTAAACTGAAAAAACTGAAAAAATCAACTGACTTCATCAGTTCGGAACTGATGAAGCCTCTTGGATGAGAGGTGAAACGTCTTCGACCTAGAAATCTAGTCCAGTTGATTTTTTTTCTTGAGAGAGTTTTTTCTGTGCCATAAGTAAAGTACTTTCAGTATAACAGCCTGACAAAAACAAAAACTTGTGATTCACCCCAAGTTTCAGGATCACATGAGTAGAATGGTGAGAAGGGCAAAGCATTTTCTAAAATATTCAAAGAACTGTCTTTAGACTAGACCTTACATGTAATACTAATGTGATAGAGTGACCCACATCCTGATGTTTTTACCTAGGATCTGTTGTGCAGTTTCTACAGACAGTAGTCATTCTGTGCATATTAGACCTAATATGACTGACCAAACAGAAATTTCCTCACTGAAAACATTGTAACAATTTTTGATGTGAGATCATCTTTAAAATTTGACCTAATTTGGTTGGAAGCATTTGTGTTTTAAACAAAGCAACTATTGTGTTTGTTTCGGCAACTTGGATAGTTGGAAATTTTTTTATTAATTAAAATATGCCATGCGGATTCAACAAATTAAATTGCAACTTTGTTAAAGCTTCAGTACTTGCACGACTACATCCAAACTGTTAACACTCCTCCACCTAAAGTAGACTCAGACTATACAAACCATCGAACGTCTTCTTTTTCTTATTCGGCTGTTTTTTTTAAATGGCGATTGGCAACCAGCTTTAGGTGCATTACCACAACCTGCCAGACTGGAGTGTGGATCAGAATGGCCCCTACCTACCACCACACCAAAATAACTCCACTCAGCTCACCTTATATTATCTTGTGTAACCCTGTGGTCTCTAAAAACATAATAAGTGCTCTGTATCCTATATCCAGACCATCGAACTTACCGGAAACACAGACTTTATAATACGAAAATCCTCAAAAAAGTACGGATGATTGACAGGTCATTTAGGCCAATCAAATACCTTTTGTCTATAAACACAGGCGGTTGTGTGGGTTGTATCAGAGCCCTTAAGCTACAAGAGTTGTGACATTGAGGGTTGTCTCAATGGAAATGTGGTCACTCTCCTTGTTAATTCACTCTGGGTTGTCCTAATGACGATTCCATTTTGTGGGGCTCAGTGGATGCTATTGGTTGGATTAAACACGCGGAGTTGACTTCGTCATTGCGCGGGTCTATCAAAAAAAACCAAAACAAAAACCACTTGTTTTATATGTTTATACAGGCATTCCTTGCAATGGCTATATAGCTTTCAGTTAATATCCGGATAAAAGCTCTTAGTAGAGAAGACTGTTATGCAGTATCCTTTCGGAAGCTTAGCGGAAACTCAAATGTTAGTTTACGTGGCAGTCCACAAATTGGATTAGCGCCGAATTAAGCCACCAGTGAATGATAGTTTAGCAAACTTGCTAGCTACCTAAACGCACTGTTGGAAGTGAAGAGTTAGATAATGTTACACGCATGGACTGATCTGTGACAACCTATGGTTAATTCTAACGCTCACGAATGGTAATGTAATAGATAATTCCCCGTTTATCATCTTTCACCATTGTCGGGTGTGTGCTAACGTTGCATACATTACAAGGCCAACGCCCGTGGTACTTCTCCGGTCGCGTACAAACCACCGGGTTAATAAAATGGAGAGTTGTGGTCAGCGGTTTGAATTCACTACGGGACGAGACAGTAAGTCCCAAAAGAAGAAGGGTTCTTCCAACCCCAGCACTTCATGTTATGATGAAGGAGACCGCAAGCCAAAGTTTGTAAGTATGAAAGACTAAATACAAGCCTATCATTTTAGCTGTACTTATGGTAAATAAAACATTTGGAATACTTTAGTGTACGGCTACATGAGTGGGGGCAGGAAATCACTCATTTACGTTTTACAAATCATAACGTTATTCTTTCAGTCTGGTGTCATCTCGTGTCTAAGTTCAACCTGGTCACCCCTGGGTTTCCACATAAAAGTTTGACGTGGATTAATTTAAGCCTCTCTATCATCATAAATTAGTTAAAATGGGCTGTTCATCTTGACCATACCTTAGGAAACTAGAGCAACAAGAAAAACGATGATGTTTATGCCTTTGTACACATTATAGTGATGTTATGTCTTATTGCTGAAAAGAGGCCTGAGAAAAATGCCTATTTGTAATCAAGAAAGCTTATGTATGATGCAGAATTTGCATGTTAGAAATTCCTTTGTGAAACCCATTAACTGTTTGTTGACTTTGCTTTGTATATAGGGAATCAAAAAGTTAAACTTAGCACAGGGTTTAGCCTTTACACTAATTCATCTACTAAGTTACTACAAACAGTCTGGACTGCTTAGTATTTCTCTACTGTATTATTCTGGGAGGTATATGGAGATTTTGCTATTTCAACAAAACATTATCACTATTAGGGCTGTAAATTAGGGGATGTGCTTTCCAAGTAGTCAGGCTTCTGTTAACAACATACACTGATCTACTTAATTGCACACTCAGCCCGCATCTGAGTTAATTCCTTGTGGCCTGGATTCATTGACTGCAGTCTGCTACTGTGGTAAAGGTCTGTGCAGGATTGGATTTTCAATCTGGGCTACTGTTATCCACTCCCAGTGATGAGTTGTTGGCTAAATGTCATTTAGCCTTTGCTGTCCCTAACAGAAACACATTTCAACCTACTAAGACGAGTGTTCAGTGCTAGTCAAAAGCTGGGCCCAGATTGGCTGCCGTTGTCTGTCTACCTGAAAGGTCGTAATGCACACTGTATACATTATATAAAAGTTAAAAATTGTGGGGTTTTAACCGTTGGTTAGACAACTGAAGCAATGTGAAGGGATGACTTCGAGCTTTGTGTTAACTTTGATGGCCATTTGGTGTTATTTTTCCCCTGACTTCAGAGGTAGTGCATCCTTTCACTCCGTATGACCATCTCATTGACTGTCTGGAATGCGGATTCTGAAATAATAAATGGATACTACATTAAAGTGCAGAGTCTCCGCTTTAATTTGAGTGGTTTTACAAGTATGGTCATGTCTTGTGGTTTGTACAGCTTGTAGCAGCCCTCAGAGACTTGGGCCAAAGCCTTAGAACACCTAGCTGAATTGATCAGTTTGTTTGCTGTTGTGCAGTAAAGAAGATGTTGCATTTTGTTCAGAAGTGCTGTATCAAAAGTGAATGGTTTGTGCAACATGTGACAGGAAAATGATGAATAAATACATTGTCCAGAAAGCCTGGTTGAAAAATATTTTGCTGCCACTAAATATTACTCTACTTTAATATTGTTGTTAAGGCATAGTGTAAGTGTGCGCTCAAGAGTTTTATATCATGGTTAATATGTATGTAAAATGAAATATTCTACTAATGTGCATCTGCAAAACTAACTCAGTGAGTCGACTTCTGAAGCACCAGTGCATTTGAAGCTTCAGACATCATCAGTCACATGGTATCCCTTCAACTGATGCAAACTTTGATACAGTGTACCAAAACATGGTGCTTCACTGGTGTGAAACAAGTTTTGGCGCTTCTGTATCATTTGTCCCTTTCTACTGAAAGATGAAATGTCGTCCGAGGAGCTTTGATGCATTTGGCTGAATCTGAGCACGCAAAACTGTCTTGTATTCCTCTGCATTCATTGTGTTGCTTCTGTCAGCAATGGAATCATCAATAAAATTTTCTAGTGTGCCAGTTCTATTGACTTGCCCAAGCTATAACACAAATGTGCATGGCATCCTTTGGCACAGCCATGCTAATCTTCTCTGTATCGATTCCAATTTGTCATATGTGCTGCCTGAGCAAGCCATAACAGGACTACCATGTTTGACTGATGAGGTGGTGTGCTTTGGGTCATAAGCTTTTCCTTGTTTTTCCTCCACACTTTCTGCTCTGTGGGGGATATAGGATGCTCTCATTCTTGATTTACTGTGTAGTTTTTTTCCACTAGTTTATCTTTTCTGGTCATCCACATGGGACCAGTGATTAATTAATTTAACTGTTGTCTCAACAGGTGGTGCTATAATACTGTTTGATAGAAAGTAGGTTTGCTATTAAAGGACGCTTACTGTAATGTTCTGTGGCTGTTTTTGTAAAGCAGAGTATTATAAAACAAAGAAAATTTGGACAGAATTATGCAGTGGGTTCTCTTGAGATCCTGTTTTTGTTCTTTTTATAGGGTAAAATGGGATGTGGAGGACTGTCAGTTGTCACATCTATAATCAGTTGGTTCCAGTTTAAGATCTAACAAATTTAATGGGCTCATTAATTTAATAGATGTTCTGTATAGAGGAGTGATCAAGCCACATATATTTGTCTGAACCTGAACTGTGCCTGAGAGTGTGGCGTCTGAACCCGACCCAGGCCCCATAAGCTTATATTATATATTGTCAGAACCCAACATGAGCCTGATGCTGTTGAGTTTGAACAGTGTTTTTCCCCTTCCCATTAGACAAAACAGTGTGAATACTCTAGCTGTCTTTCTGTGTACCTAATTTTTTTTTTTTTTCTTTTCATTTTTAGTATTCATGAGAAATATTACTGAATTTTGGTGCTCAAATAAGCAACTGCAATTGAATTAAGCATAAATGGCACCCATCTACCTATTCTGTTAACCTTAAAACATACCTGTTAAAAAAAAATTGAATAAGTGATAGTATTATCAGAAATTTGAAATTGAGATCATTGTGATTCACAAAAATCTGGTTCATACAACTTTTATTTGCTGAAGTTGCTAAATGGCTTTTCAGGCAGTACCCCCGATACTGTCTGAGAAAGAGTGCTAAAAAGATCAAGCCATTAATCAGTTGCGTAAATAGACAACATTGTGGAGAGATGCAACGTTGTGTGAAGGAAAGCACTTCTGTCAGTGAGTTCAGAGTTTATGCGTTACCTCTGAACGCACTGACCCATGGAAGACAAATCTGCCAATTTTATTTATAAGGGGATTTCTACAAGAAATGTACATTTTTAAAATGTTTATGAATGCTGTATTCGTTTGGGTTGGGCCTTGGCTTATTGTATGTATTATGTATGTGTTTGTTTATTTGCTGACCACAGTGAGGTGTTCTCTATCTGTGCTTGCTTCTTTTCTGTTGTGGATTGCATGTGCAGTGATGTATAAATGAACAATTTGTCTATGAGCTATGGGGTACTTGTCTCAGTTAATTGAAAAAGATATTATCACAGTTTAATTAAATGAACAAGATGATAGCGGGAAGTAAAATGAATTCAGTGACATTTACAAATTACTGTTGTCAGGCCATCTTATTTTGTCCATTAAAGTAAAATATTTGCAATAGCGATCTTGACAAGCACCAAAGCAGTGGTGGTTAAACAGCTGGCCCTTTAGTTGTATTTTCCTTTCATTTATTGTTTTGTTAGTTTTTTTTTTTTTTTTTTTTTTTAAAATTAACTGGAAAATGTTGTTTAAGCACTTGGTCAGTTCCTGTTGCCCAGTTTCACTGTCCTGTGCTGTCTATACAATATCACTGGTGACCCTTTCTTATTTCCACTGTCTTTAGTCACTGTGGATCTTTTGACATGCACTTTTAAGATGTCTTAAATTTGGAGTGCAGATTAAAGTGGGGATTCCTGAACCAAGCCTGACGGGATCTGTCCATACCCAAGGATTCAGACTAGATTTGGACCAAAATTTCAAAATTGTATTTGGGTATGTGTCGGGGTCGGACATGTAGATCAAACTTTAGACGGAACTAGATGGCTGGAGCACTAAAATGTCAGCTTTGTTTAATGATAAGGGGAACAAACAATCACCAGCCTGACACACCTGATTGTGTTGGGCTGGGGTCTTGTTTGAACATTATATACCATAAGCTTGCTGGGTTCAGATGCCACACTCAGGCGCGGGTTGGATTTGGCCTGATCCATGGCCCAGTGCAGGTGAAGCCTCACCATTGCCTGCAGTTTAAATTGTGACAATAGATGGGTACTGAGAAACAATCCTTGAACTGGCACTGCCTCCTTGTTTTCAGAACCCAACACAAATTAGCTCCTGAGCTTTCAAAAACTCTGATGGGCTTTTTTCACTGTTTTGCATATTTTCCATCAACCATAAACGTATTCAGCTTTAGCCCTACGGAAAGGGCTTTAGATCGCATGTGTTGCCTGAACAACAGCCCAAACCTAAAGATATGCAGTTGGAGAAGATCTAGACAATATTGACTTGAAAAAAATCCAACAATTACTTGACTATCAGAATAATTGCAGATTCATTTTCATATCCAATTGATTAACATAAATATTTGCAAGTTGTTCTTACACAGCTGCTAGGCACTTTTTTAAATTTGCACACCAAAAATTTATATTCTTTCTTAATCATGCAAAATGCTTGTATGTAGAATGCATATCTAGCAAAATAGTATAAGGTCTCAGCATGCCTTTTGTGCCTGGGTTTATGCCATCTATTCTGCATCTGTGTTGTGTGCACACTGTCCTGTTACAACTTATCTATTGCCTTCTACTTCAACAGTGTAGCGTTACTGATAACTGCAGCTACAGTTGTACGAGGCTGGTGTTGTTGAGACGCAACAGTGAGACTCTGGTGTCAACTCAACATGTCAATGTTTGTTTTAACCTACATAATATGCCCTACATATATAAAAGAAATCCACTGGGTCCATTGACATCATTGCACAGACCTGTATACTGCCCTATACCAGAGTGCAACATCTGGCACAATTAAGCAAGGAGTAAAGGAGTCGGTGTCAAGTATATTATGACAAAATTGATGACAGAGACCAGTGCTTGGCAAAAGGTCTGGACATTCATTCATTCATATTTTGCCATCATGCCATTAGTTTGCTGAGATGAAACAGAAGGCAGAAGTTGCTGCTAATTTTAAAAGTAGTGTGCAACAGTTGATGTTTAGGCAAAGGTTAAAGGTTGGGAGAATAGAGGGGTTTGAAAAACTCTGTCACAATTTGCTTGTTCATTTATTGTATATGCTGTATTTCACAGATTTTTGTGCTGGTAGTTCACAGTATCTTTAATTTTTTAAAATTTATTTACTGATTTAAGCAAGCAAATTCATTTTGACCATTTTCCAGTTACTTAGTCAGGACTGTTGGCCCCTTTTTACCATCTCAGATTTAAATAAATAAATATTATTTAGAGTAGCTAATGTCTAAATGATGGGGTTCATCTTAGTTTTGTTTCAAATATATGCACTGCTCAGGCAGAGATGTTGCATGTGAGGCAAAAGTTTGACAGCTGTGTCCAATTAGTTTGACATGTGAGGCAAACGTTTGACAGCTGTGTCCAATTAGTTTGACCAGTTGTCAGACTGATCAGTGGAAACAAAATAATTCCTACAGTAGACGTACAGGACGGTGTGTCATTTCATTATTATTCTTTCATGTCAACTTTGAGTCTGTTTCTTTTCTAGGACATTTTGAGCAAAAATGTATGATGTTAATCTCAGAACACTCATTAGGGGGACGACTCATTGACAGGTTGACATATTTTATTCTAGGCAGTTTTATGTTAATTAAATACTGGCATTTATTGATTTATTTCTCTGAGGATCTGTACAGTCTGCTGTTATGTCTGAGGGAGACTCAACCTTTCTGTGTCAGTTTTTCATTCAGCATTTTATCATGACAACATTTTGAAATTGTATGTTTACTTTTCATTTATTGGCTTTTCATGTCTTATTATGATGATTCCTTTGGCATTTTTGACTTTGTTACACCTGTTTGAAGTAGAGATGACAGTTTTCCAGGAAGCCCACAGAAACACAAACAAACCAACCAACCAAAAATCAGCTAGAGCAGAAAAAGCAGACAAAAGTTGCTCAGCAGGCGCTGAGGTAGCTGGTATGCACAGATAACAACAGGCCAAATGCCAATTCCTTCCACTGCTCAAGTGTAGCCCGAGCTTGGTCTAGAGGCACTTTTTTGTTTAAGTGACTAGTGTTGTTGATGTTCAAGACCCTTGGGTGCAGACATTTAAACTCTGGTTTAATAAAAATGCACCATTGGGTGCCCCAGAAGGAATTTCGTTACACAGGAAAAGTTTGACAGTTACCCACTGTGCTTGGTGATAATCACACAGGCTCCTGGGAAATGTAGTTTGTGCTTCAATTAGCTGGCAGACACTGGGTTCATTAATAACTCTAAATCAAAGCCTTGCTAGCTAATGTATACCTTTAACATCATTGCAGGTTAAGCTATTTATGGTAATTTAAGGAGTCCCCAGTGAAATAATGCGAATGGCCTGCAGTTTCCATATATCAGTCCTGCTATACTCCTTTTAGATAAATGACTGCAAACATCTGTAGAAATTAGTATCCTGCTATTATTATACAGAAAGCAATGATTGTGTGTCACTGGAAGTTAATCTAGGCCAGAGATGGTCAGACTCTCTCTTCTGAATTTCAAAATAAGCCAACATCCTCAAGCCAATAGCACCATTCCTCAGCATCTGTTCAGATGACATTGTACCATTCTCCTCTTTTGCAGCAACAAATGAACACAAATTTATCTTGTAAATTCTTTAATGCAGAATATATTGAACCAAAACATTTTCCTATGTTAACATTCAAAGATATCTGCTCATAAGCATATCAGTAATTTACTGTAGGCTGCTGTTGGTGTATGTGCTTTTATGTTTAATGTCCAGTAAAAGCTTTATGCATACTGATTTATTTTTTATGTTCCCTACCTGTAGCACTTACCCTTTAGAAACATCACAGATGATGTGGTAAGATCTGAGATTTTTGTGTGCTTTCTTTTCTCTTGGTTGTTAAACTCTGCAACATCTGCATCACTGTACTTAATGTCTTTTCTCTGAAGTCATCTAATCTGCTTATTTTGAGTGGCATTAACATTGGTCTTCAATGCCAGGCTTTAGATTCCTTCGCATCACAGCAGACTGCTTTTCTAACCAGCTAATATCTTTGTTGGCTCTACGTTATCTAGATGATGGTGCTGTTCTCAATGTTTTAAACAAATGTTCACACTAATAGCATTTGTTTTTCATTTCATTAATTGGCCATTTGTTTCTTCTGTCCTCTTCTGAGTATTAACCATTTAAATATAATCGAACACGTTTTATGTATCTCATCTTGCCACTGGAAATTTCTGTGCAGTTTTTCCTCTTTAATTCTTGTTTTCTCTGTAGCTGGACAGATTTGCCAGTATTCGGATTCCAGGCAGTAAAAAGGAGCGGCCGCTCTTGACGCATTCTAAACACAGCAGCAATGATTGGTCTGTGTCTTCAACTTCCACCATCAAGTTTGAGGAGCTTTCATCAAAGATCACCTCAGAAAAAGAGATCTTGGCTCTTTTTGAAAAGATGATGGTATGTTTCTTGTAAA